TTTGGGGAAAGGAAGAGGGGCAATTGAGGTGACGAATACCAGGGAAACAAACAATTCTCTTCAATTCTCTTTGCCCTCCCTAGCCTTTCTTGGCCCAAATATTTCTTGGAAACCGTTACAAAGAATATTTCGTCTCATTATAATTTTTACTCTCCGTGATTACCTCTTGGTGAAAACAGTAGCCAGAGCTCTAAAGCACCCACTAGCCACCAGTTTCGTACTAGTATGACATTTATCTATGACCCAGTTCAACAGGGCTGGCGTACTGTTGTTGTTCTCAAGAAGACGAACCAGCGTGTCACGACCAAGAAGATGAATCTAAAAACCAACAGATAAAGATATTACAAAATAGAAAGAGCAAGTCAACAAGCAAGTCAACCCTTGTTCTCAACTGAATGACAAGGATGGGGAGCATTGGTTTTATGAGGGAGTTACATATGAGAAATAATCAATATAAGGTGCCATCATAGAGTTGCAGTTACTGTCGAATAAGGCCTGCACGGGTGGCATAGTGATTAGAGCACTCGTAGCTCACCAATGCGACCCAGTTTCAAGTCCCGCCGGAATGATTCAGAATTACTTTACTCGATTTTTTTTTTTTTTTTTTTTTTTTGTGGTTTATGTATAAAATTCAATCAACTACACGCCAGATTTGAACCTTTAAACCAAATAACTTTCGCATCAACTCTGACTCTAACCTTCTCTTTGGGTGAGTTTAGGACAGTCTGTAGCCAACTGTACAGGTAACCTCTCTGAGACAAACCATTGGCATCAAACATAGGACCACATTGAACCAGCGCACACATAGCCTGAAACAGATAACRATACACTCGCGTTAATTATACTAGTATAAACTGGATGGTGTGCGCAATTAGCTTCTGGGATTCTTAGACTTAGCATCGTAAGTGAAGGGGAAGGGATAAGATTTAACAAAATGTGTGCATTACAAGTGAAGGAAGATAAGCATAACTTTTTTAGTTAGACTTATTTGATGTTCAAATGTTTTKGTAGGGTTTGCTTGTTTGAATCATTGATTGCGCACAAGTTTTATGTGTATAGAAAGCGCAGTTGCAAGTAGAGCGCATGCAGTAAAACCATGAAATAAAAACAAAGTTGATACTGAAAAATAGTAGCTATTTAGTGACTGATAGTTGCTGTCACTCRACCAGAACATTCTTTACACAAAAGACGCAAATGGTCTCTTGTGTATTTGTCTTTTCGCAAGTCCAACTAAAGTTTGAAAGACTAGGTTCGTACTTACATGTAAAGTCGCTAGTTCTAAGTCATTACTTTGCGCGCTTGGAATAAGTAAAGTCCTGCCATAAAAAGAAATGGTTTTAGAAAAGATTGTACAAAACATGCCATGAATTATTGATAAAAATGATAGATAATACTTTTACGTACTTTTCAACTCCAGGCACTTTGACGCCAAAGTGCGCACACCAACTACTGAACATGAAAAACAAATCACGACGAAGACCCACTGGCAGCAAACGATCTTGGTAGGATTCTGGCGAAACATGAACATCAATGGTTATATATCATGCATCAGAAGGTAAGCAAACTTTATTTTACAGGGTGACACTGAGTAAGTGGTTGAGGTTAGCTGATTCGTAGACTGGTATCCACAGGAGCCTCAGATACAACAACAAAGACAGAATCCGAATTGGAATTAGGTGCCGGAATCTAGGAGGTTTGCAAACGCAGGGCAAGTGTACAGCTGTACTTACTTGATACTGATGTTATCAACTTGTAAACAAAGTTACAGAAATTGAGTCTCAAATGCATGATGGCTGGCCAGTCCTTGTCTGGTTCACCTTCTAGGTAAAGTCTGAACAGGAGAAAATAGATATCAAGAGATGCGCATTTTGGAAGCATGGTGTGTGTTGCTAATGGGCCACCTTTGTGGTCTTGGGCTTGTCATTATCCGTTGGAAGAGTTGCTGGTGTTTCAGTTTGAAATCCCTTATACAGTCCCTAAAGGACTCCTATTCTAATTGAAACCAGGTTTTAACAGTCTTTTTATTTTTATTTTCAAATGTAAAAAGTTAATGCATAAAGGCAGTATTTGAGCAAATGGTTTGTAAGCATATCCAGTGATATGACATCAGAACCAACAGCCACGGGTTGTCAGAGTTGACTCGGTCACGGTATTTTAATGATTGATGTAATGCCAAATTAGAAAAATGGTTTTAAATCAAAGCATACCTGATACCATCGATATACTCAAGAAAAAATGCTGTTAAGCCATCTTCTCCAACCAGTTCACTTGCACTGAAAAAGGAGTTGATATGAGAAAAGTGATCAAACATGGAAAAAAAATAAGAATTATTATCGATTTGAATTCCCATTTTTCAATAATTTCTTCTTTATTCTTTAAGTGTATTACTACATATAATTACTACATATTAAACCACCCATTTTCTCATATTATTTCCTAGGAAGTCCTAAGCTTTTTTTCAAGGGTTAATTACGCACAAGTCGCCTCTCATTCTAGATTACCGCTCCGTTTCACGGCAGTGAAAAAATCAATAAGATTGGAATCCCATTTACAATATTTATTTTTTCCTTTTCGAGCCTTGGTTTTTACCTGTCAGCAAAGCAGCCGTAGTGTGCATTAAGCTCAAACACCTTGGTTAAATGAGATCTCAGAGAATCCCTCTTTCTTCGCTTACGAACAGACTAAAAAAGAAGCAAGATGGTATATTTAGGCAGAGTAGTTTTTTTTAGGGACACACACGATCTACCAAGCCTCTAGTCTTACCTCAGCACGTCTGTCTAGAGCTTCCCTGCACGGGATGTGGATTTCCTCTATAAAGTCCCTGTTCAACGTTTGTATGAATTATCAGCATCAAACAACTATAATAGAACCTGCACACTATTTGCTAAAGAAGTATTTTATCAAACTTACAGAATGAAATGTCAGAGAATTACCGCCATTTGCATTGCTACGCGGCCACCCCAGACAAAAATCGCGACGTGCACTTTGCAATAGACTGCCGTCAATCAAACACGTTGACATCATTTACTTGCATGTGTGATTCAAAAGGCGCAAAAACTTGTTGATCGTTTACAAGTATTATGAGCCACACACCAAATGCATTGACGGCAGTCTATTGCAAAGTGCATGTCGCGATTTTTGTCTGGGGTGCAGGCCTCGTAGCAATGCAAATGGCGGTAACAAGTAACTCTACAGTAATGAGAGGATGATTCAGTATGTATTACTGCAACTAGCATCACTTGTGTCTTTTAAACTCATACTTGGAAGATGTAGAGATGCGCTAACAAATGGAGCCCCGTTTTTTTCTTCAACTCGACAAGCGCAAAACCAGAACTATTTTAGAGGTTTGCATGCATTTATATTTTGCTTGAGGATGAATATTTATACCTGTAAGATGATGGGCTCGTCCTGCCAAGACTGACAATGATTGCATCTCTTATCTTAGAACAGTCACTTTTCAGAAGGGGAACAGCAAACCTAAACAAGCTGTCTACCATGTGAGGTGATGGCGGCTGGTCGAAGGAAAAAATAAAAGTATAAATGTTAGTTAATTCATGAAAAATGGACTGCTGCAAATATTTGTATTATATTAACTAAAATCACTATGAGCACAGAAATTTTCAGGGTGAAGACAAAACAACCACAAACAATATAATAATTATTATTATACAAAGTGTTGAATATTACCTGCTAATTTATTAATGACTAGTTTCATATATTTAATATTCATTTGTCTATTTGCTTTTGCCATATCTTATGAGCTTTAAACAAAACAGATTTTTTTCAAAGGAATAAATCAAAACACTTACTCTAGAATCTCCCTTGGTTTCAGACCCTTCAGACGAAGTACTGAAATGAATGTGTTCAAAAAGGTTGATAACCAAATGTACTTTTTCAACATATATATGTTTATAGGTGGGAGTGAGGGAGGAAGCTAGGTGCCAGGGGGTGTGACAAGGAGAGGGAGGGGGGTTTAGGCTAGCTGAATCCTTTCTTACCCATTGTCTTGCTCAGGAGATTCACTTCGAGAAGGTGGTGACTTTGGATGAGTAGAGCAAGCAAATACCAAATAGTTTTGCCACAGAGATATATCACCCACGTTGGAAATCTTTTTGGGTCCTCGGCTGTACATGGATGACAGACTAGAGATGGAGTCCATGCCTGAGGCACTACAAAATAAGAACAAACAGTAGCAATGAACTGTGTCAGAAGCATGCTTTGTCATTCACTAATCCAGTGCTCTAACAAATCCTATTGATTCATATGAGAAGCACATTTAATGCACCACAGAGCTGGATATTTCTAGTTATGGGTCCTTAAGCTCAAAAATATACAAGCATATGTATGCATTTATGCACTTTAACACACAATTCTTACAAACGAGAGGAAAAACTAGGACTTGATCAGGGACTGTGGAAGAAATTGAAAAGTGGGGAGCCTGGCTATATTGAAAATTCCCTGTTGACCTGGGAATGAAGATTTCCTTACCTTGAGTCAAATACAGAATAAACGTTGACTAATCTGTTAAAGACTGCCGGCCAACTGAACTGCAAAGCAGAAGGACAAGACTCAGGCAGGTAATTGTTGTCCAGTAGACCAGCCATGAGGTTCAACCAGAAATCGCTGCAGAGAGAAAGCATTTGCTCGCTTGTTTCACGGTCAGTAAATGCTGACAAACGATCGTTGACGATGGCTATGTCTACGTTACCAAGCTGGCCGGTAAAAAGCTGGAAAAATAAATAGATATTTCATCCTGTTAATTCAAATATTCTTGTCAACTTGTTTGTAGAGACTATTTCTAGACTGAAGTATATGCTTTATAAAGCATAAAAATATCCAGGAAATCCCACAGTTCGAGATATTTGGTACCAGCTATCATTGGTCGAGTCCAATTAGATGGCACAGGTCTGTTTTGGTCACATTCCTAGGTAGCAGCTACATGGTTATGAGTCAAAAGTGAGAAGCACCCTTACCTTTTCACTTTGTGAAACAGTATGCAACATTTTGTCCAGTACAGTAGGGAAAACTTGCTCAATGACATCCATCATGATCTTTTCTTTTCTACCCTATAAATTAGTCAATCGAACAGGAAAAAAGAGTTATCATAAAATAAATGTTAAAAATCTTGCATTCTGATTGGTTGGGAGTGCGTGCTTTATGAGAGCACACAGCATGCACGCGCCCTTTGCATTTGATAAAAGAAATAAAAAACTTGCTTGCTGTGTTGTGTGGAGTTATAAAGCACTTGGGGATTGACAGAACACTCGAGGAGTGTTGAGAAGCACTCACTATACGTCGTGCTTCTCCTAACACTTCTCTTGTGTTCTGCCAATCCCTGCGTGCTTTATAACTCCACACAGCAAGTGTGCGCATTTTCTATTTCTTCATTTTTGCAGCTTTAACTTTATGATGTGCAGGCTTAGCCTCACTTTAGAGTTAAAAATAATAGCAGAAATTGCAACAACAGAACTAGCAGCTCTTGGATTCCAGGTTAGCCCACACATTCTAGAAATAGAAATTAGTATGAGTCACCTCATTAGATACTGGCTGCCACATGTGGGACATAGCTACATGTACTACCTCTATAAAAAATATTAACCAACCAATACCTTATTATCTGGGTCCAGTAAGGGGAACATGGTCTTGACTTCCTTAAGCACCAACAGTGCCAGTCTACGTATAGACGGTCTTGAGCTACAGAGCATAACAAGAGCACAGCCCTCTAAACTGTGTAGTACAGTAATGCTGTCCACTTCCTTTTCACTGGGAAGATTGTGAGTAGACAGTTCAACTGTCACTTCTTCACCACTCTAGAAACACACACAAATATGGAAAAAAGAACTAATTTAAAGTTTAATTTAAAAGTTTCTTCCAAGTATCAAGCCATTCTGATTAAAGCATAATTTAAAATAAACACATGTTGGAAGAGGCTGTTGAGCAAAATATCATAGATTATGGACAGTTCAGAGGTGAAATTTTCATTTCCAAATCTACAGGGATGGCTTAAAGAAGCGCCGTTATTTTTCTTTTTTTGATGCAAACAGCAACTCACTGTTCTAGGCTACTTAATCAATTAATAATTTATCAATTTTTAATACCTTGAGAACTGAGTCCAAGGAACTGACTGACGTCTTCCATACTGCAAGAAGCTGCAACAGCATTCTCAATCCACTGTCCAGCAGGGAAAGAACATTGTCTTGTACCTCTTTGAGTATGAAGTTGACAAAGCCTACATAAGGGGAAAAAATGTATGAGTAGGGTTGGGTGGTAGTAGTTTGTAATGATCAATACATGTAATACCTAGAATAGCTACTTCTCTCCAATCAGGAAAGTCCATCACAAGAGACTGCAGAGAAGAGAAGGCCAGCCTGGAGACAGACAGACAACAAAAACACCACATATTTCATTTACAAGGTTTTAAAAAATGGCCAGTCATAGGACAATGTCTACCTGCAATGCTCTGGTCAAATCTTTGCCTTGCTGGTCATTTTGACTAGTAACATTGAGCTAGAAACAAGTTATAACGGAGCTAAAACTAATTTGGTCAGTCAACATGACCAGCAACTGGCAAATTCTCATCTTAAGCTCTATTGATGTATCCTAAGGGACACAGACTTGCTCATTTATTCTATTTATTCTGTCACATTAGCTAACCTACCCTCTCAACTCTTCATCCATGTGCACTGTCAGTCTAGAGAGAAAGTCTACTAGTTCTGTCTTGGTCATGCCTTTTGGGATGCACCTGAAAAGATGACAGACACTAAATATATTATCTTGCTTATCTAAAATTGAATGGTTCTTCCCATTCTTCCATTCTACTGACATCCCGTGATAAAAAGTAAATATTATAAAGAGGATGATGACACACACCTTGGAATAACAGCAATGCAAGTCCTAAACAAGTCAATTTTTGACTTGCGCTCACCTCTGAAAGAACATATTATTGGATTAGAAATTAATGAATCGAATCCATGCAGTTCTTGTAAGGAGTAAACCAAAACTATATTGATTCTATAATTATAACTCTCCTTGGCTTTAGATGTGGCGATGTAAGGGTAAAAACCATGATAGAAGATTGAAATGCTGTGGAGTGAGATGAAAAAATGCGATAAACTACTTACGTGATCATGTCGTCTGCTTCCTTGTGAGAACAATGTGGGTTAGTCATAATCATAGGTTTACCAACTTGAGTATCAAGACCCCTCAAGATACTATCCACAGCCTTTCTGATGCTGGAGACATTTTAAAATAGCAAGAATGTTAGTAGGAGCAGGTGTATCTCAGCGGGTTTGTACATGGCCTTTGGGGCTCCATGCAATTCTCAGGATCTCCAAGTCTGTATAAGCTTTCCTTTAATCTTAAATCCTGGTAAACAGAGCACAGATGGAAAAAGGAGAGGGGGGTAAAATGTGAATTGTCAACTTCCTGGGATACCAGCCACACAGCTGAAGGAACTACTACTGATGTTTAATTAAGTTAATATTTACTTTAATCTGAGAAGTTTGAAAATCATTAATTATTAGGAAAACATTTAGATAACTAGCTGAACATTTCAATAACCGCCTGGTAATTTTCATGCCTCTGCAGCCGCTTGGCAACTTTCAGATGTCTGGGAATTTTGACTTTTGTTGTCACTTAAATTTACTGAAGGAACCTACTAGGAATTATGATTTTCGGTTCTTTTTCTTACCTGTGGTAGTAGTTTGCTAGGCCTATGACATTAGCAGCCTTTTCATTAAGGGTGATTGGGAGAGTCATCTTCTTAGCTCTTATGGTATTACCAGAGGGCAAGGTACTTATGGTGCTGGGCATAGGGGGAGCTTCACCTCCCTGTAGAAAAGAAATATATAATAATCATGGTGTCTACTATTATGCTAAGGCCATGATCAATATGAATCTTGTAATTTGAAGTTATGATTCTTCTCTAATTGCACTGTAAGTACAAAACAGACAAAATCAAGACAGAAAAAGAAAAAGGAAAGTGAAATTATTTTTTAAATCAATATTATTACCTTTCTCTGTAAGTTATCAGCTATAACAAAGAAAGCTCTTAGTCCAATGTTCATCCTCTGTAAACAAAGTAGAGGTTCATTAAGCAGGGGTTTTATTTAGGGTCCGGGATCAGAGAGTGCTCCTGGTAACTAAGCAAATTCTATGGCTCAAACTACCATTAATAGCTTAGCAATTAAAAAGTTGGTCCTCAGGAATCTCCGACTATTTCACGACCTATTATCATTCCATAACTTAATGAAACCTGTGAGAAAGTATAATGATGTAGAGCATTCGATCTGAATCACTAGCTCTGGACATAGAACTTGCCTCAGGGCTGATTTGTCTTGATGTTCTGCCAACACCAAGAAGGTCAAAAATTATATCATTCATGGCAAAATCAAGCTTCTCCTGGAAAAAAGAATAAAATAAACTTACATTAGTAAGGTGATATAATTATATAAAATATGAATATTTGTATAATTCTAGAAAATATTAATTATCTCCTGCACAGAGGTAAATAATGTGCAAATGTACTTTGGGTCATCACATTGTAATGTAGTGTTTCCTTCCCTGAGAAGCTGCATGACACAGCGTGCAGCATGTACCATTAAATATAAAATCAGGGTCAACATTTACCTGTGCAATGAACTGTATAATTTTCACAAAAATATACAAAGGCACATCTTTGGGAGATGGAATAACAGCTTTTGACCCTCTAGGAAATAGGGTGTCTATAATGCTTCTCAGTCGGCTGGCAATTCAAAGACTTTATTGTTAGAATCACTGATGTGAAAAAAAAACGTGTTTTTCTGTGCAGAAACATGTAAATTACTTAATTATATGCCTTATATTATGCCATTTGAAAATTTCTTTTAATTGATATTTGTGCACTATAAATTAATAAATTGTATATCTAGCACATAACTGGGATGATCATGTGTAATCATGATCATGATCATCAGCATCATCAGTCATCACGATCATCAAAATAATTAAATATTTTTAGATCATTGCTGAAATAGTTGCTTAGATTCAAAGCATAACTGTGATAATAAAATGTCATCATCATCATCATCAATGCTGTACACTTCACTATTATCAATATCATAATCATCATCAATTTTATTAATAAATGATCATCCTGTTTTGCATACCTGACAGTGGCAGTGTTGCTCTCACATTTGATCCTCACAGCATACACCCTAATCAAAAAATGCAACAGAAATACTAATCAAAAGAGTAAAAATGAATGAATGAATAATGAATGAAAAAATTAGTAAATGGATGGAAAGTTAGATGCTCAAAAGTTTAGCATTTTCTTTGGAAATCCTTAATTTAGCTGAATAAGACTAGTGTTTTAACCCACCAGACAAGCCGGTACAAGCACTCTAGTGCAATCCTTTGGGTCTTCACATCTTTTTGCTAAAAAAAATAAAGAGAACCACTGTCAAGCAATGTCAGAAAGATCTATCACTTTGCCGTGAAACGTAAACTGAAATAAGCCATATCCTAATGCTTTATATGGTTGCTTTCAACTGGAACCTGCCAAGTCTGAATCCAGTAAACCTCCCTCCCTCTTCTTTGCAGAAAAATTAATCAGAGAAAAGCCTATTATAGCTGAATGGGTCTCTCTGTGGTATACAAATGGATGAAGTTCCTACGGAATCTTTATATTGTAAGATCTTGTCACCAAATAGCAATATGTGGGAAGCATAGGTGCACCAATGTGACCCGGGTTCAAGTCCCAACGAGCTCGATAATGTATGTGAGTAGAGTTGTTTGTTGGTTCTCTCCTGTGCTTCGAGGGTTTTCCAGATTCTCTGGCTTTCCTTCCTCCGCGAAAACTAACTACTAAATTCTAGTTTGATCCTAGGAGATATTCACAAAAAGAGCTAACCTCAATATCTCCTTTTGCACTCACTGATGCAAATAAAAATTAGTGTTTTATATGTCCCCAACCCTCCACAACACCTACATCAACCCCTATTCTGGGAATCTTGCAACACCACTATTTAAATGTCTTTCTGTATATAACTTACCCGTACACTTGTAAGACACAGCGACAAAAAGTTTGGCCAGTTAGTAAGAAAGAAAGGCTTTTGACTGACACATAGCAGAACTGTTACCAGTGGGTAGAGAGACTGCAATATAATAAATAAAAGTTACTTTAGAGTGGTTATTGATCAAATAACAAATATTACTGTCAAAAATTAAAAAAGTAAAAGGGATCTAAAAGGAAAGCTTATTTTTGTGAGACCGTGGTTGGAGAATGCTGAAGTGTAAAAAGGGAATACCTGTGGCTCTAATTTAACATCTGGGGTAAAAATAACGGCTAGTCATATGACAATGTCCAGCCAGAATTTGAACTAATGTCTGGTTAAGTCTTTGCCTTGCCAGTCATTTTGACCCGTAACATTGATTGAGCCAGAAATGAGGTAAAATCAAACTAATTTGGCTGGTCTATATTCGACCGACGAATGATCAGTCTTCATGTTTAACCCTGTAACATATCAGGTATCAAATAACTGTTGGCAGTAATTGCAGTTTTCAAATGCAATAAAGCCATTTTTAAGTACAAGTGGAAAACATACAGTACTGACTTACAGCACATAAATGGTACGACATGTCATAACATTGTGATAGCTTCCAGTTGTCTTCCAATAATTCCATTCAATCACAATGTGCATTTATGGTTACAGGAAAATACAGTACTGCTACAGCACTGCTATGTATTTTCTCTACCATTTCTCACTCATACAAAAACTGCTCTATGCCATCTGTAGTACTATGCATCTACCTGGCTGTGTTTTCTGTTTTTAGCCAAGTCCAATGCATGGTGGAACATCATGTCTACAAAGTTCTTCAAAGCAGGGACATTGAGCTCTCTGTTTGCTGATGCTGCAACAGGCATAAGTATTTCCACAAACATAGAAGCAAAAGCATACTTTATGTCCTTTTCTTTAGCGTCAATAAACAAGGTGGCACACTCCTGCGTAAAGAAAAGAAATAATAATTTAAAAATAGAGTGAATATTAATAAACCATTGATTTGAGGAGGGTGTGAGGAGGGTGTGAGGAGAGTGCAAGGAGGGTGCAAGGGGGGTGTGAGGAGGGTGCAAGGAGGGTGCAAGGAGGGTGGGAAGAGGGTGTGAGGAGGGTGGGAGGAGGTCGTGAGGAGGGTGGGAGGAGGGTGTGAGGAGGGTGTGAGGAGAGTGCAAGGAGGGTGGGAGGAGGGTGGGAGGAGGGTGCGAGGAGAGTGCGAGGAGAGTGTGACCCTGTATGACCCTGGAGCAAAGCTCTAACCAGTCTGAATTAAATATTAATGTTGATTTGAGAGGAGGAAAAACTCTCGGAGTCAAAAAGAGAACTAACCAACCCAGCTGACATGGGATGACTGATTCAAATCCTGGACCACAGGTGAGAGGCATCAGAGTTTTACCACTACACTATTCTGATATGAGAGTATTTATGACACTGAATGGCATCATGGAAGAAGTTTCCTAGCATTTGATATTGACCTACCCTCAAAAATTGAAAACCTTCTTCAAGCTCTTCAACAGGGAATAGCTGTAGGATGACAAAAAAAGTAAACTAAGTCAGTGGCCAATCAGGATTTGATAATCCTTATGAATTAACAACTCCACCACGCACCTTAATTCTTAAATATTTCATTCCATAAATAAGATTAATCAGAGTAGATGGGTTGTTCTGGTGCTCCTTGAACTCAGCCATGAACCGCTTACGAATACTTGGAAAGCGTGCAACAGCAAGTACTCCAATGACCTCGGCATATAGTGCTGCGATGATTTGTCCATTAGCAGCTGAGGGACCAGTTGGGTCAACCTCTCTCTGTTTGAAGTGCCTGAAAGCTAGGGATTCAATGTACTGCAGGTTTTCATCTTCTACTGGATATACACACAGCTAAAACAATATAAATAATGCACAGTCGAAATTAGTATAAACAATTCACAAGTATAAATGAGTACATACTATCACTGGAAAATTCCCACCATGGTTAGAATGATCTTTACATTTTATTTTCATAATTTCATGATGGTTACTGTGGCAAACTAAGGCAACACAAAAATTCTACACAACTACCTTAATTTTATTTAATACCTGTTTTAGTATCTCAATCAGCACCAAACAGAACAGAAAATCAACGGCAAGCTGTTGGTCAAAAAAATTACATAGTCACATAAATTAGTTAGTTAGGTGGTGTTATAATGGCTAGATATGACAACTCCTACAGTCATGTAAATTTTGGAATCCAGTGGAAGAAGAGACAATCTGTGGAATCCACAGTTAATCCCATTATTATTATTTATTATTATTATTTTGATAATATAACTGACTACTGTTATTTAAAGTTTATTTCCAATTCTTAGTAAGAAAATGTGAATACAATTTTTATTTCATAACATACTGTACTTACATCTCTTCTTTCAGCTAGGTAGTCTCTTTCTTTGCTGCTCTTTATTGGCAACTTTGGTGAGTCTGGACCGCTGCAATTATGATGAGTAACAATATTCAGTTTTTTGATTAACTCATTTGGTTGTGACGATTATGAGAGGTTGTCTCTTCAGGGCGAAGACATTGCAGCCTGCATTGCTTGGTCATGTGGTCTGCAGTTCCTTTTTTGCAGGAGGTTAAGGAGGGGGATGGGAGAGGAAGCACAGGCTACAAACAGAGTGAGGGAAAGACCATTCTTTCATATTAAACCATCATTATAATAATGCTTCTTAAAAAATAACTATCAATATCCCAGACTATTTGTATAGGTAATAGGACTACATGCCTAGTCCAATTTGGCAGTCAGAGGAATTTTTTGAATTCAATTATTTCAAAATTGGATACACATGTAGTCCTATTGCAGATTAATTATATCATCCCAGACTATACTAGACTGATGCCATTAATCTTCAATTTGGACAGGAAAGGGAATTTGAAAATACATAATACAATAGTTGCTTATGTGGGATTATAGAGTGATGATACAATTAAGTAATAAATCCTCAAGCCCGGATGGGCTATTGACCCATAGGCCATGAGGGCAAGAGGACTAACTGTTTTAGTCAAATCCAACTTGTCAGTCAAATATATATAGATGTAAACAAGTTTTGAATTAAATTAATTTTTTTGGTTTTCAAAGCCAGCACTTTTTGCTACTAGTATGATATAATTTTAACTTAGTGCTAGTTGGATTTTACGATAATTTCTTACCTCCGAGGACGAGAAATGCATTTGGCTTTATTCGAGCCATCAATCTCATCTGCATTTTTAAGATTTTGCTAATAGAGGATGTGAAAATTCACCATTAATACAATAATAAATAATAATATGGGAAAAATTACCATCAATATCAATTTGACGATTTAAATATTTATTTCATGCATGCAAGCAATAGCTATGCTTGCATCTACTAAGCTTCTTAGTACCCTTGAGCAGCATAGCATTTCCTAGCCAAGAGTTTTTAACCTCATGGATTGACTGTGTAATGATGGCAGGAATAATACCTTGTGTTGAAGGTAGTGTGTGTGAAAGTGAGCGACCACAAGTGACTTGGATTCCACTGTGACCACACCCTCCAACACAGGCAACCCATGAGGTTGAAAAACTGCATATGTTAATAATTTAGTTGAACAGTCAATAATTTCTTAGGTGGGTATCCCAAATGAAGAAATGTATATAGAGATATATTATGCATCACTTCAAAAAAGCATAAGTGTAATTATGGCATGGAGGTGGGGTGGGAGAGGGGTACCCAATGCATTGCATGACACCTTAAACTACCCTCATTAGGTAATTCATATGGTTTAATTAATAACACAGTAAATGCAGAAAAAAGCAAAGAAAAACAGAAGTGCTTCCTACATTTAAAAAAGCACTAAAATGGTCTTAGTATTTTAGATAGCTTAAGTTATAGCAACAAAATGATTATAGAGCTGATCTGACTAGTGTTTAGTCATTCATTATTAATGTTTTAATGGTTTTCTACCTACCTGCAGCTCATACCACTTAAATAATATCTTGAGCAAAGAGAGTAGGCTATATTCTGCTACTGTGTTGAGAGAGCTGAGCAGCTGATCAAACTGCTTATCTTCTCCTCTTTGAAGTGTCTTGGATAATGGCCGTTCCTATTAACATTTCAATGAAGAAATCAAATGCAGTTTAAACAATAGCGATGATTTGTCTTCCCATTTAAGACCACCCACTATTCCCTTGAGTATCCTTTTCACACTTCTGCAAAATATAGTAAAATACAGAGGGGGAAAATATTTTCAGCAGAAACTACTTTTTCACTTTAAATTTATACTTCAAAATCCTGATTAATTCTTATAAAAGGCAGGAATAACTCGCGCATTATTCAGTGCTTTGCATAGATGAAGGTGGAATGCAACTGCCTTGAAAATGGAGGAGGTCAAAAATGAGGAGGTGGACAATGGGGTAGAGGGGGGACGGGTTAAACTGCCTGGTTGAATAAAAGACCTTTCAAAAGAACTGATCTAGCAAAGACCTGATGACGTCATTTCAATAACCAGCATAACTCTGCTTCATTTTTCTATTCTTTGAAAAGGGTTTTGCAGTATAAAAACAAAGGTATTATTTTTGTGACTCAGACCTTTTGAAGCATTAGGCTGCAATGCTATACAATACAATTTATTTGTTGCTTCAAGGGAAAGATATTTTGGAACTTAAGCAAAATAAACTTAGCTAGAAATAAATTATTTCAATGTTTTGAAGAGCAATTGTGACATATGTGTTATGCATCAAAACATTGTCTGAGTAAATAATGATCTAAGGACAAAAAGTTCTAGGAATGATCACAATTATGCACAATGATCTGAACGTGACTATCACTCAAACAATGCACCATTAGTAACGTTAAGCTCATTATTTGAAAAGACATAATCGTCCAGCTTGCGTAAGAGAACATCTATTGTGTTCAATCAAAACCTTGGTGTTCCAAGAAATCTTGAATATGCACCGCTCCACACTTGAACAAACAGCGTTTTTAAATAAGTAAACAAGAGACCTCCATGAAGATTGAGCCTGGATTATTGACTGTATTGATAAAGTATTACCATTAAATCTTTAGATGGGTGATGTCAAGAAAATACAGATACAGCGAAAGGAAATATGGAGTATGATATGAGCCGGCAGGTTACTGTTAATTAACTACTTTGGATACAATTTTTATAAATTTTTATTATCTTGAAGCTAGCCCCCTTGCGACAATAAAAAACCTCGAGAAAAGGCCTTAAAACCTTGCAAAGACCTCATTTCTGGATTTATGGCCTTCATAATTTGGGTTAAATTAAGAAAAACTTTACACCTCAATCGTTAGCTTCAATTCACAGATATGTTTTTGTACACCAATATACGATCATGTGACGTTCTTGTACAACATAAACACAAAACTATTTCCATACATTTTGGGATCAAACAAATGCTTTTCTTCCAAAATTTCTAGAATTTTGAGTTATATAGCAACCTGCAAAGTTTCAAAACAAAGCATCTTTTCTTATGAACGTAAATACCGGTTGTTTGGAGCGCAGGTAACCATGAAGAGTACCAAAAACAATGAATATTTTACTTCCTGCTTTTATATTTTAACACGCACAAGACCAATTGCAATGTTACGTAAATTGTCCCCCTAGAAGACATGAATCACAATTCGACTTAAAAGAAAAATTAGTCTTATCTTTTAAAACCAAAACACGAATAAAATAAGGTCACGAAGATTATCAATACAAGGCCCGATCGTACATCACTATTTGATAAACTCAGAGGTCAGAACAGTTGAGATCGTAGGTCGATTATTTAACGTAAATGTTTCAAAATGGCAGAAAATCCCTGTGGGTTTGGGAAATTCAGTCCTAGAGGACTTACCAGTGGTTCCGCTAAGACTAGTTCGATTTTTCTTTCCGCTACTATGGTGAATTCTGCAAATAAAGTTCGAAGTACGAACTCTCCTGAAGTAATGTCATCTTCGGATAACACTGGATTTGGTTTTTCAGACGATACGACCCACGGTAAATCGCAACCATTTCCAATGTTTGAAGTCTGTGTGCTTGTGCTGTCATCTTCAAAATCTGAGGGAAGGAAATATTTCATAAATTAAGAAAAAAATGAGGAAGATTTCAGGAAAATATTTCAGCATCCACGTGTGATCTGCGCAAGCTCGCCATAACAGGAACTCTTCTTCATGTCAATGATTCATCGTATTTCGTTCCAGTCACACAGTCTTTCGCTTTATATAACAGCAAAACCATAACACTAGAATAAATTTACAATATCCCAGTAAAGGGGCTCAAATTATGGCACAAATTGTTGGGAATTGTTGACTTTTTTTAAACAAACACGAAGCAAGTTTTTTCAGGGCACTGGAGGACAGACCAAGACTGGACGCAAAAACGGGTTCCGACAAGAAACATTGACCGTTTTCTCATTTAACTTTACCTCGTTTTTCAGGGTCTTCCATGATATTTAAGGCGATGAGCTTTCCTCATGATGTCCCTGTCCAATTTGCCTGAGAAAATAAACAAAACAAACATATTTTACTCCAATCTATTTAGGTAAATACTGCCGCGTATCGAAACACCTCAGTTAAAAGACGAATCGAAAATCAAAAACCCTCACTTGTTCATTAAAATTTACAAGCTGGTTAGCATCTATGACAGTTATTCCATAATTGTGAAAGCTAATAGATGTTTTTGACGTCTTTTTCTCGTAAAAATAACGCTTTCTTTGATGATTTTCTTCTTGTTCTTCCACCAAGTGACGATTTTTTGCGACAGTGTAGCGCATGCGTAGCGGGGGAAAGTGGACTGACCCACAGGGGACCAATCATGCTACAGCACCGTATCCGTGGTATTTGTATAATATTTTCGATCTCTATTGCACCGCACTTACAATTAAACTATTATTAGACTGTAACGTCAGATCGATGTTTCCGTTTGGCCCACTGGTTTAAATTTGAAGTTTTGAAAATCATTCATAATAATGGTGGACAAAGTTTATTTCGGCCTCGGCTCCCATGCTCATCTTGGCGGCCTTTGGCGTGATGTGCGCGTTGCACGGCCAACTGGTTTTTAAATAGACGGAGAGTACAGTGTATTTTTAGCATTTTTAAAACAAATTTAGTATCGGCCCTAAAGATCAATGCATAAGGCGAAGTTAGAATCAAACTAAAAAAAAAAGGATGTTTGTTTAAAAGCTCAACTTGGAGGGTAAGATGTTATCCGTCTCAACGGAACTTTGCCATCAATCAAATTTGTCGTTTCGTGATAGCTTCAAGCACCAATAATTCTATTGAGAACGAACTGATGCTGAGATCCGAAGACAACTAAACAAAAAAAGTCTGACGTCTTCTTTCGCGTTTCTGAGGCCGCAGAATAAAATTGCGGATACCATACAAGCATCTTTGAAACTATGAAAAATTGAACAGAAGTTGACAAAATGTTTATTTAATTTGAAGTACAAAGTTCAGTTCTCAAATATTATTATTCCGCATTCATGACACCTGCAATCACTGTATAACGTAAGCTAAAAATATTTTTCAGCTCTTTACGTAACTGCTGTTCATATGAATAGTTTTAATCAATTAATAAGAATCCTAGTCGGGGAACAAATGAATAAATAGAAATCAATTAGAATTTTAGTTAACACCATAATGAATAAAATAACTACTATGCGTAGCTTCAAAAGGATTTTTATTTTCCCGACAGCAGAAGACATGGTACTAGTACGCTAATTCTCACTTTCTTTATCGAAAGGGATAAATTAATTATGAAAAGGATTTTTTAGCTCGTATCCTGCTAACAGAGGTCTCGATTTTTCTGGGCCCTCTGTTCTGGCTTTAGTCGGGAGAGAGCTGAGAAACACAGCCTACGGCCCTCAGCCCTACGAATCTAAAAAGAATAATCTTTGCTCGCAGGCTAATCAGCAAGGAAATATATGTTAAAAACTCACAGACGTCAGAATTACCCGGAACGATTCCATTGTGGTTTTTATTTTTCAACCTGTCCATGCGTTTGTTTTATAAACTCATGTCGTTGCCACGGCAATCTATTGTACGTCTTGCAAAGACTTTCGCGAGGAAAAGCGGCCGCAAAACAAAAGTATGGATGTTTTCCAAACATTAATGTGGCAACCTTAAACGTTTGCGGCAAGGAAGTCAAAAAGAAACCTTAAGAAACTAAAATATTCCGGTTGAAAATATTGATTGATATGGCTTCGTCTATATTTGGAGCCCCAAGGGCATTTGACTATCATAACATTCTTTTTAGTGCAATTTAAATCTTGTTGACGTCAGATGCTTAGCGTAATTACCCTCATGAAGAGTTTCGTGATTTATTCAAGCGGTAATGAAACTTGAGAAAAGCCGGAAATGTTATATGAATAATGTATCTATTCAGATTTGTCTCCCATTTCATTTTAGAGTGGTATTTTGAACTTAATTGTCGCCTAACATAAAGATTTTTACAGGGATTTTTAAAACCTCTGGCTTCGTGCCATCTGTCTCTCGTGAGATTTAGTCCCTCCCCAATAATTAAAGATGGAGAATAAATAACAAGATTAAGATTAACTGTCTGAATACGTTTTTGAGTAGACGTGGTACAGAGTGGGTAATGAGTTTTCTTTTCTCTTCCTTTAAATTGCTCGCTTGCTCAACTACAGAGAGGGAGAAGGGAGGTGTGGAAAGGTAAACGAAAGAGAAATTATACCTACGTACACAAAAAAGACGTCCGATCCGGTCTCAGTTTTTCGATACCCCCGCTGTCCTTTCCCAGTTTCTTTCGATGGTACTTTGTAAGTATCCCCGCATCCTGATAACCACATCTATAAATGGCCTGACGCCAACGGATTTCTATTGAACGTTGGGACTCACAATGAGATAAACTAGCTTCATGCCGACCATGCGAGACCACAATTCCCAACCCCCCCCCCCCCCCGTTTAATGAAAAGTTACTATTTTAAAGTCAATTGATCGCGAAATAATTAGATTATACATAGGCAAGCTATCTAGGAGCCACGAACTGGGATGGTTATCAACGCATCAGGGATTTTACGGTTAACGGGGGAGCGAGGGGGGAGGGATAGGTTCTGATTAAGGCAGCTCTTGTATGCTTTACTATACCACACACATGGCCATTCACGCTCCCTGCGCGAGGCCTGCATGTGATAGACTACGATGTGCTTCTAGTGATCGATCGATCGATGGCAATGCCGCTGCTTCCAAGCATTCGGGATGCGCATTCGCCTTGCGCGCGTGTTGCAATCATAGTTCAAAGCCTTAAGTAAAATCCTTGCCTCGACGGCCCATACTTCCGTGACTTACAATCTACGAAGTCTTCTCTGTTCAACCACCCTGAACATCTCAACTTTGTTTGTCGGATTAAAAGCGGAAACCAGATCTATGCACTGATGACCTTACTCAGTGATTGTCAAAGTATCAAAAACACTTGTTGAAGCAATCGATCGGATGCTAATAGGTTTTTAAGAGCCGATAAGAGTCAAATCACCTGATTGGCTAGTCGTCACTGGGGTCTCAAAAATAACAGTGATGCAATCTGAACCAAGTAACCATGTCTGAGTGGTCTATTTTTAACTAGAGATATATAAAGAATGATCTAAAAACCAGTAAACAACAGTTCAACTAGCTGCATGTAAACTAGAATTCATAAAAGGGGGTGTGGATGGGGGTACCCGATTGTCAGTTAACTACTATAGTTTAGGCCATGGCCAATTGTCAGTTAATAGTTAATAATTTTACAAACGCTGGGTTATATAATTTTTAGGCTAATTCACCTTTTCGGCGCTAGCCGTCACGGGGTATAAATTGATTTAAATTATGTTAGGGTCACCATAAAGTTCGGACATTGTTCTCAAATTTGCGTACGAATGTACTGACTCTAAATGAACTATTTACTTGGTTAATGTTTAGTTAGCTCTCTCATGACAAGTAAAATATTATTTTTCTAGCTTGATTGAAGCTTTTCTTACTGTTGTTAAGAGAGCTAACCTAAAGAAATCTACCTAAATTTTCTGGCTAATTGTAAGTAACGAAAATGATTCATGTAACGTATAATGTTTTAGGTTTACCCAAATTTGTGAGCTAAATTGAGCTAAATTGAGCTAAATTGCGCCATGTTGTTTTTGTCAGTAACGAAAATGATTCGTGTTACGTATAATGTTTTAGGTTTACCCAAATTTGTGAGCTAATTTACTTTTTTTTAAAAGATGCCACTTATATATTCCCTGCTAGCAGAGTCCCTCTTCTCTCTCTCTCCMTTCTTTTAGGCGGGGTGGAAGGAGACTGTCTATTTTTCTCTCTCAAGGTTAGGCCGCATTACCCTCCCCTCCCCTCCCTCACATGGCATTTTTTCCATTTGCGCCAGCAGTTTCATCTGTCATCTATATCCCAAACAAAAACAAAAAATTCAAGATGTCGGACATTCATTGCGAAGCTCTCAAGAAAAGAATCGGCATTCCTCCTCTTCCTTCTAGGGCTGGACAACCAGGAGGGTAGGAAAGAATTAGCTGAGTTAAATCTTGAATCGAATGCACTGATATCTTTATATGTCGTGTTTGTATATAGTGTTGGAGGAGGTAAAAGAAAGAGGGATTATTCTCCATTATCTTGGGATCATTTCTTTGATCGAAAAGACGATGTCAAAGTCAATGACAAAGATGTATCCAGCTCTAAACAATATTACTTTATCAGTTTTTCGTTTAAATAATATTTGAAGCTAATGAAAGGATGATTTACTTAATATTTACATGCATACTTTTAAAAGTTACATTGACAGGTAGTTTTATTGACATTCATGAATGGTCAACTTTATAATACACTCTCTCGATACTAGTTAAAGTTCTTATTATCAGGTCCCTAGATAAAAGATCATAGTTACAGCTACCATGATCTCTTATCTGGGACCAAAAGATAAGAATCTTTTACTATTATTTATAGAATCATTTTTAAAGGTGTGAGCTCAAAATATTGTAATGATTAATAAGCTTATAGCCATCAATATTACTTTTGCATTTTTGTTTTGAGAGACGCCCTTTTTATTAGAAAAATAAAAGAAAGGATAAATGGAAGAAAAAAATTATTGTTCAAAAACACCCCCTGCTGTGTCCCGGACTCCCTTTTGATCTGTTCTGGCAGAGAGGACCAAAAGGGAAATTGTTGGCACATTAACATTGCAACACTAATGTTTATTAATACCAAGTAGCACAAAAACCTTAACAAAGCTTCTAGACCTTTAGAGTTTACAAGTCAGGTGACCAAGGACCTTTGTTATTAGTTCTACATGGTGGTGGTCACTCAGCTCTGTCATGGGCACTTTTTACGGTACGCAAACATTTTTGACCTTACCCATAAGCTATTTGCCTTATGGTGTCATGTAGTAGCACTACCAGAATCCCTCACACTTTTTCTTTTATCTGTTAATTAGCACCAATTGCCTTGCTTTTCTCATGAGGGAACAAAAGTTTAAGAAAGAAAATATGCAAAGCATTCTTTGATTGTTAGTATAACATACCATGCAAATGACATATTGTTTCCTTATTTATCTCTTAAATATTAACTATGCTTAAATCTGTTGCCTTTTTGTGCATTATTGCTTTTACAGGAATCAGTCACTTCCCTTTGTATATGTCAAGTCCTTGCTGTGGATATGCGTGGACATGGTAAGATTGTTAATAGACCCTTTTCGAGTTCCAAATTACTGCTGTGTTTCTTGATTACAGACTCATTTGCTCAGGCTAAGCCTTGATTTTGTGAAGGATATTCACGTTTTCCAGTCAAGGTCCATCAAGTTTCAAAGTGTTCGTATTGTTGACCTTGTGTATTCTTTACTTTACTGTTGGTATTTGCGAGTAATTAGACACTGATTCAAGGCTTAGCCTGAGCAAACGAGTCTGTAATCAAGAAACACAGCGGTAATTTGGAACTTGAAAAGGGTCTATTTTACATTCTACTGAAAATAGGACTGCTCCTAGAAGCAGGATGTTATATATTCTGCATCAGATTTTTGTCATTTTAACAAGCTAAGTACACAGTGTATCATACATCAAGATGCAAAGCATGTATATATTTTTTCAAGCTAATCTTTCATTATATCTCAATGCCACAGTACAGAGATCTGACATACACATTTTATATGTCTTAACTAGATATGTAGTATATTTTAAATTCCTTTTTCTTGGCTCCCACAGGTGATACTCATACAGAGGATAATGTAGACTTATCAGCAGATGTTCTTGCTAAGTAAGCTTGTATACATTTTTCATATTATCATGTACATTGTACCCTTCCCTGAAAAAGGATATCTCGCCCATATTTATATAATATTAGACCCTCATACTATATTAATTTTGTTTATTGCTTCAGAGATATAGGAGACCTCATACAATCAATGTATGGAGACAGACCACCACCAATATTATTGATAGGACATAGGTAAGATAGGTTTTCTGATTTTGTAGGAGATGGTTTAAACACTTTTTGTATAATGTTTGGTTTGATGATGATACCTGTAGGAACACCTTTAGCTGGATTTTTGTATTGATTCAGATCAGAAGCATCATGAGTTACTAAATGAATGAACATAAATAAACAAGCTAATGAATGAAAAAATGAAAGAACTCCACAGGAAAAAAAACTGGATTCCCAAATTGGGAATTTATTGGGAATTTCCTTGAATTCCCAACAAATTCCCATCCAATTCCCAGAGAGAATGAAATTGGGAATGTGGCACTGATTCCCAATGTTAGTTTGTTGGGAATTTTGTTTTTCTATTGGGTATTAGAAGGAAATTCCCAACAATAAATCCCAATGTTGGTGTTCGAATTGGGAATTCAAGGAAATTCCCAACAATTCCCAATTTGGGAATCCGGTTTTTTTTCCTGTGCTCCAAGTTGATAATTCATGATGTCTTCCCATTTTACACCATACGTCCTTTTGATGATGAGATTCAACATCATTTAGTATCTCTACCAGTAACTAAAATGACTCCTGGTCTGAAATGGCTCTTGCCTTCATATTAATCTCATTTTAAAAGTAAGAAATTAAAGACTAGGACATCCTTTATTAGAGTACAAACACTAAAAGTGTGCAACACTTTGCACTATCTAGGAGTAAATAATACTAATTAAACAATAGGAAACAATAGGATTAGAGTGACCACAGTAAATCCGTGAAATTAGTAATACTAAATAGCACAGTTTCATGCAAATTCCATTGTTTAATTGTACTATTTAATTGTACTATTTAGTAATTAGTGTTTCACGGATTTACTGTGGTCGCTCTAGCATAATTTAGCAGTATTTAGTGGTATTTATGTTACACACTTATAGTGTTTGTACTCTATTTATTTCCAATGCATGTTTTAACTGTTAATTTTATCTCAGCATGGGTGGAGCAATAGCTGTCCATGTTGGTGTCCAAAACTTTCTTCCTTCTGTGGTTGGTCTTGCAGTCATTGATGTAGTAGAAGGTAACAAAATAGTTACTTGTGTCTACTTATGTTCTTGTGAGCTTCCTGTGGTTATCTAGAATGGGAGGGACTAGGAATAAGAAGTAAACAAAGTTGAGTAGGATAGTACCTTGGTGGGTCTGTGTCCACTGGTAGAACGAAGCTTGGGATTGGACAAAATAACAAAAACAAAGAAAGCATGGATTATGGTGAACAATGTGTATTGTTCTACATGTGAGCTGCGTTCTTTGTTTTATCTCACCATTCATTGTTTGTTCATCCACTCCCAGGCTTCATTCTGCCAGTCATGGATTTTACCCACCTTGGTAGCATCCTCTGCCTTGAGAGGGACTGCTTTTAATAAGTAAGTTTGCCAACTGGGAGTAGTTAATGCCATCATTCCATGTATCAACAACACACTCTTGGTTAACTTGTGCTTCAAGCTAACAAGTTCAATAATCTTTGATAATAAATATCAGCATTATTTTGTTTCCTACAGGTACTGCATTAGATGCATTATCTTCCATGCAAAACTTTCTTAAAGGCAGACCACAATCCTTTAAGTCAATAGAACAAGGTATCGAATGGAGGTAGGACAAGCTGATTGATTGATCAATGGATGGTAGGACAGGCAAACTGACTGACAGACTGATTATTTTATTCATGTTAGCACAACCAAACTACGACACCCACATGAGCAGTTTTGTAGTACACTGTATGTCTACTGATTCAAGGGTTTATTTATTCATACTTCAGCATAAGAAGTGGCCAAGTTCACAATGTAAAATCAGCAAGAATATCAATGGTCGGACAGCTAATAAGGTATTGCATTCCTGATGAATGGTACACCAATAATGGTACAATGCTCATGATGGATATACCTAGTATTTAAAAAAAACCTTGTCAGTTGGAGATCTGCCACTTAAAATAAGAGACCAAATAGCATGCTTCAAATTTTGATATATTCACAGCTGAGCAACGTAGTTTTATCTCAGATTGATATACACTGTATGAGGCAAGTTTTTTTGAAATAGGTGTATAGATCTCTAATGCTTTGTTACATCGTTTGAAGGTGTGATGGCAATAGTAATAAACCAGATCTCGTTCAGCCTGCTATCCATATTGCTCATACAACAGACACCATAAAGGAAGAAGATGAAGAGAATGCAGATGAACCAGGACAACCCCAAGCCAAAAATCAAAAACAATCAACTTCTAATAATAGTGGATCCTTTGTCCCAGAGGTAGAGTTTATAAATCATGGGAAAAGTAGCAATAAACTTGGATTTACTAGCTGACAATTGAACTTGTGACTCAAAAGGACTTGCAAGCTGAACCCTTAATGAAGGTCGTACTTGTAAGCTAAGCTTGTTTGATGTATTGTTCTATCCTTTATTGGTTATCTTCAGTTTTTCTAACTTTCTCTTTATGAAAAGCTCGATGCATTGGAGCTGTTATTGTGCATAGACCTTTTCTGAGATAGAGAACATGGTGCATTGTGTTCTAGATTTGGCACAAACATCTTTTGTTCATCATGCCTTATGTGGTGTTGTTTGTACCCAAGCTAGGCCTCAATTCATCCTGTTTATTGAACTCAGAAAAGGCCTATGCAACCGACTTTACCCTGGTTAACCACAGTTACTTTGGGTTGCCTGCAGGCTAGTACCATTAAGGTTGCATGCTTTGAGTGTTTGTACTCTATTATACATATTCAAGTTGTGGTGTTGAGAGAAGGTACAGTAAGCCATCTTGGAAGTACGTTGGTTGTGTTTCATGGATTACATTTGAGTTTCTTTCTCCCCAGAAATCTGAAGAGTGTTGGAAATGGAGGATCGATCTTTCAAAAACTGAACAATTCTGGGAAGGTGAGTATCCTTAATGACTTTTCATCATCTCATTTTAACTGCTCACCTTTTGCAAGTGATAAGATCAGATTTTGTTTGAGTATCAAACATCACATTAGAATTCATACCATATATCAGCATGAAAAAGTTATCTAACAAAGTTGTACTAATTTGTCATTACAGGTTGGTTTGTTGACATGTCAAAACTTTTCTTATCTTGTACAGTACCAAAACTTCTCCTGCTGGCAGGTATGTGGCATAGAAAAATTTGAAGCACTCTTGTCTGAACTTAGTAACATGGGATAAAGTTTAGCCTTCATAGCGGTGCAAGAACTGAAACTGTTCTTGTACTCATATTGAGGTCCACTCTCTTTGAAGAGGAAATAAAAGTTGCAGTTGTTTCTCATGCTTTTCGCATCTTTTTTCAAATACAGGTATAGATCGCCTAGATAGAGAACTGACCATAGGACAAATGCAAGGTAAACGACAGAAAGTGTTTGGTAATAAAACAATGTGCTGGAGAAAAGCCTCCAGGATGACTGGCAATATTTCCCCTTCCCACTGACTAATTTCTTTTTCGTTTTCACAGGCAAGTTTGAAATGCAGGTTCTTCCTCATTGTGGCCACTGTGTTCACGAGGATGCCCCAGATAAGGTTAGTAACTTAGCATAGAACGTCACCTAGTTTCTACAGAAAACTAGCTATGATTCAAGCGGTTTTGGCTTCCATCAATCATATTCCCAAGGGCCTGAGTGTTTTTTTCCCCCAAGGAATAAACGAAAAGGAATAGGAAACGCGCGCGCGTGTGTGATTGATTCGAGTTGCGGCGTAATTTATCCTTGACCAAAAATGGGCATGACAGACAGACAGTATTTTTCTGTGACAGACAGACAGTATTTTTCTGTATACTGCCTTAAAAAGGCATGGAATCTCAAGAAGGTACTGCTCTAAAACAAACAGAAGTTGGTTCTAAAGACCACCTCACCTGACTTATTAGAAAAATGCCATTACGAATGGCTTCCTACAGCTACATACATGCGGTGACATTTCACCAACTACACAGCTTTAGGTCACTAAGCACTCAATCAGGATCAGAATACCCCTTTGGTGCCTCGACATTGATCCAGGACACAAGAAATGAATGCAATGTTGTTTCGTTTTTGTTTTTTTACCAGGTTGCTGAAGTAATAGCGTCATTTCTCCTACGATACAAACTTACAGAAGCCAAGGGGAATTTTGAAAGGTATCGGTCTCTCTTCCCCTCTTAATTCATCTCTTCCCAGTTTTTCTTCTTATCTCTCTCTTTCTCTCTTCATAGAGGTATGACCAATAACCGCTAAAACAATGCGTACGATATTGCTCAATTGCCGACGTTGCTATCGTTCTCTCCAGCTCAATCAAGCTGCTGCGGTTTTATTCAAAAATAGGGCGTGGACGCGGTATCATACGCGATTCGAGTTAGTTGGTCCTCTCTCGTGCTTCAAGAGTTTTCTCCGGTTTCTCTGGATTTTAAATAAGTTGTCTTTCCTACTAGTTTATACAGTATTTCATTACAGTGGCAGAACTTTGCAATTGTTTTATTTCATTTCAATGACCCTGCGACGCCCCCTCTCCTATAAAACTAAAATTAAAGGTCCTTCGTTCAAGATAAATTATGGGCCAAATTTTCTAAAGTTTTTTCCTATTTTTAAAACTTTATTAAACCTTGTGTTTTGTAGGCATTTCCCCGCATGCTGAGAGGTGAAATAGTGGCATTTTAACTGAAAGATCTAGAGCTTCATTATATCAAGCAAAGGTTACATTAACCTCACGTAGCAATCTTCGATATGTCGTAAACAGTATACTTAGTTTCTTTCTTTGTATGTATACGAAAAATATTACAAAGTATTTTAAAGTTGTATCTATTTATACACCTAATTCAAAAAACCTTGTCATCGCCAAAGGCGATAGGCAATAGTTGAAAAGCGATAGGATATATGTCATTCCAAGATCCAAGAATAGCTGGAATGACTTGTTTCTTCTTCTTCTTCTCGTCAAGAGTATGGACCTTAGTGTTGAGACTGATTCGATGTTCTTTGTATTCAACAAAACCATTTCCATGTCGGAATGAACTATCGCCAATCGCCTTTGGTGATGACAACGTTTTTTGAATTAGGTGTATATCTATGCAAACGTTAGAAGAGAAGCTTGGTCGTTATTCGAATCATTTCTACCCAGTTATTTTACGTCAAACGTGTAAAAGAAGCGAAATAAAGATGAAGAAAAGTCTTTGTTGTCGTAATGTGGTGGACATTATTTGTAAGTGATTTTAGTTTTGCAAGAGACATAATCCAACGCGCGCAAATCGAATGAACCTCAAGCTCCGCCCGCACCTCGGATGTTTTTGAAGACGGATTCTCATTTTCTTTGCGGATTGACCTTCCGTCCACATGTATTTGGTGAATAAGCTACTTGAAAAGGGCAACTTTTCGATAACGGATCATAACTTGTGGAAGGACGAAAAAGATTCGAAAACGTTGCAAAAAAATATTTTTTCAAAAATATTTGGATACGTGTGGACAGGGCCAGCATAGCCAGAGAATAGCAAGAGGTACCCACATCTGTGAAAATAGATGGAAGCTCAAGAGATGAACGATAAAATAGAGCTCTCTTCTACTGCGCATGATTCTTTTGTTGAAGAATGAACGCCTAGCGTAATCCTCCCCCTAAATCAGATGTAAAAATTTAAGAATCTGCTTTTTTGAAGCGCGATTACGCGGAGCAGTTTTCTCTGCAACTTGTCTCGCAACGAGAGTAGTGTTCACATTGTGCAACGGAGACGCAATCGTTGCCGAAAGTAGAAACGAGTTCTACTTTTGGCAACGATTACTGCAAATTGCGCTGTAGGTTACACGCTGCAATGCTCCATGCATTTTGTGTCTGTTTGCAAGACAAGTTGCAGAGAAAATTGCTCCGTGTAATCGCGCATTTAAAGAGCGTAGTGGACAAACCAATTGGGGGAGGGGTACTTCCCCTTACATTGATTTTCTCCACCACCAGGAGCTGAGTGGTTCGAAGCCAGATTATTTACTATCAATCTCATAAGACGATATTCTCTTCCAAACAGCAAGAGAAGCTTCCCACCCTCCCATCTTCCTCCCTCTCCCTTGTAATTGCAACCGAATTAGGGATCACAAAAATTTATAGTAAGTTTGTATTTACTGAAATTGAATAAGTTAGATTAAACTTTCGGTATTAATTTGGATCCACGAAAAGCAAATAGTACCCGAATATTTTTTCAATACTGAATATTACAGTTGGACTCATCAGGTTATGTTAGCAGAACCAGTCCTTTTAGTCTTGTATCAGAGAAAAAGTATGTAGAATTTGAAATCCCACCGTCAAAAACATCAATGATTCAATTTTACATTCACTTATGTACTTGTATCCAAGATTTTACATGGCGTAGGTTGTGTTGATCTTCGTATCAAGGACTGTTCTTAACGATGACTGACAGTTGGTTATTTTTAGTGGCACTTACTGCAGGTTGGCATACTTCGCTTCCTAAAGCTGCAGTCGCTCCGTACCTTGCTTCGTGTAGCTCATTCTCAGCCAGCTCAAGAATTGGAATAGCTTCTTGGTCGTTCTTGTATCGATTCGTGCAGTTACCGAAGAACTGAGCAACGCGAGCCTTTTGGTTGCCAATCTTCTGACGCGAACCCCTGTGTAAGTCTTGAAAGAAGATTTTGAGTCTCCCTGGTGACATTCTTGGGCTGCTTGGCGAAGACGGCGGCGTTTGAGGAGTCTTTGGAGTTTTAGGCGACGTCATGTTCAAGTTCTCGAGAATCAGCAGAGAGAAAGAAATAGTTCGACATCAAAAAACTCGTGGGCTGAGTGATACTCGGACTGAAAGGTTTTAGCACACTAGCTCGTTTGGTGTGAGACATATTCACGTGCGTTCGACATGACTGCCTCTGATCTCACTTCTCAAGGCCCATCACGCGTGCGTGTACTATCGCTTTCAAACCGCGACAGAAGCGTGGGGAAGTAAGAATTTTTACGCCGAAGACCATCGTCTTAGAAAATACAACTTAAGTGACAGTTGAGTTTCGGAAAAGATGATCAGAAACTGAAATTTAAATCGGAACATGAGTTTTCGTAACCGTCACGCCCGTCGATCTCTGCCACACGGAAACTCAGTGCGCTAGTGTTTAAATGGTCTGGATGTTTTGGCAAAGTACTTGTGAAGCACTGGCAATAAGGTTGAGGAAAAGAAAAATCAGAGCCATAATAAGTATTTATCGTAGGTCGACGCAATCAATTTATTTTTTTTAAGGAGGATAAAGGGTCATTTATAAAAGTCATGTACCGTTACATACATTTTAAATTTTGTTCTAAATTTTAATACATTTTTTCAATCACACCCAACAGGAAAATTCTTATTTTCCCATAAGCTACCATGTTCTTATTCAGTACAACAAAATGAAAAACGTCTATCATGTTGTAGCTAACAAACACTGGCTATCCTACAAGAGGGTGTTTTCCTTCCCTTCCATAAAAACAGAAGACAAAAAAGGCCACTTAAAGCATAATTGAAATATATTTTGATATAAGATAATAGGCAGATAGAGGTCTAGTAATGAGTATTGAAGAAACAGAAAATGCGCGCATGTACTTTGTGCAGTTATAAAGCACGCGAGGGTTGGCAGAACATGAGAGAAGTGTAGCGGAGTGCTTCTCGACACTTCTTGAGTGTTCTGCCAATCCCCAAGTGCTTTACGACTGCACACAGCACAGCAAGCAGATTTTCTATTTCCTTTTATAAAATACGAATTACAATAACCGTTATTTTAGATAGGAATGACACAACTGAAAGTGCGCGAACGTGCTGGGTGCTCTTATAAGGCACGCGCTTCCAACCAATCAGAACGGGAGATTAATAACAGTTATATTATAATGTCATGCATTGATACTAGATGGCGTCCTTCCATTCAATAAAGCTGGGCATTATCGATTCATAGTTATTCATCCAATGAATGCAAGTGCTCAACATTCAAAGAGTATCCAACTATGTATACTTTGCTAAAGAGAATGATTGCAATAAACAAGTATGCTACTATAGAGTGCAAGAAGATATAACTAGCTAAAAACTAGTGTGAGCTGCGTCGGTGTTTCTAATGAAACAGTAATGATAAAAAGGTAAATTATACACCGTGAAAGGATGAAAAAATTTACTGACGTTTCGGACGCTAGTCCTTCGTCGAAGTATAGAGTGCAAACAATTTATCCGTGAAACACTAATTACTAAATTGTTCAAAATAGTGCTAGTTAAACAAAAGAAAAGACAACAGAATTAGGATAAAATTTCACGGATATAGAGTACAAACACTATAAGTGTGTAACATAAATGCCACTAAATACTGCTTAATTATGCTAATCCTATTGTTTTCTATTGTTTAATTAGCACTATTTACTACTAAATARTGCAAAGTGTTGCACACTTTTAGTGTTTGTACTCTATTGTTTGCACTCTACTAACTATACTATTATAAGATTCAGTGTACTTCACACTTTTTGTTTATTCTAAGCTTTCTAATGTCATTTTTGTTCATGTTTCATTTCCTTGAGTAGCATTTCTTTGTTTTCTAGAAATGCCTTTCAAAAAGTTAAGGAAGTTTAATGAATGTTTATTGGAACCCAGGAAGTGTTATCATATGTATGTATTGTAATCATCCTACATTATTAATGCCAAGGTTAGTCTCCAAGCAGCATATTTTATGTCGGTCACCGGCGTTGAGACTCTTGATTATTTTAATTATTCCTAATGATGTGATAGATGAGCTATGTTGATCCAAAGGTTACAACAAGGGGTTCTTTGTGTTCAACATGGAATCCTGACAAGGCAACCTCGGCTCCTTTGGACGCAGATATTACCTGGAAAAATAAAACGAAATAAGCCAATGACCAGGTATCATTCTCTTCAGAAGATACAGGTCTTGCATGATCACATGATGGTGGCCATATTGGGTACTGTAGCAGGATGAATATGACAAGCTAATATGAGAAAAAATTCAATTTCCCTGAGTAATTTAGGGATTCTATAGTTGTGCTATAGATCTAACATGTGCTGATAAGTCAGATATGCAAAACATCTATTCTTTGACTTGATCGGACCGAGTTGATCATTATCTTCTGTAGTCAGTATTATTGGTAAACAAAAGTACAGTAATTAATACTCAAGGCATTGATGTGATATAAAATGGGGAAAAACGTATTACTGTATATGTTTACCTCTGCCAACATGGGCAGAAAACCCAGGTTTTACTAGTACATAAAATTGTGAGAGGATGTTGATACACATTACTGCAACATGAGCATAAATATTTAAACTAACTACTTAAACTCAATTTAGAAATCAGTTATTTTGCCTCAGCTATTTCCATCAACAACAACAACAAAAATTCCTGGTTGCCTACAAATCAAAATATTTTTACTAGTCTTGAGCATCAAGTAATATTGTTTGATATTTACCATATTTATGTCTGCTACAGAAACTGGGTCAGCCGAAAGAACAGCATTTGGAACACTGACACCTTGAGGAAACGGCTTTCCCCTTGGAATGCTACTTGTATTAACATTAGACAACTTTGATCTGAAATGAGAGTTGGAAATAAAGCATAATTATTATAAAGAAATCCTTCACTCACAATGCTTTGGCCGGTCACAAAAGAAAAGAAATATTGTTAGCCCGGGGAGGTACGGAGTAAGCCAGGAGTCAGCCGGAGACCCTAAAAGGTATGTGAGGTCTCATTTTCTACCCTAAAAGGTCTCTTTTCAAGAGAGTCCTCCCCGGGAAAGGTAGTGAGAGTGTTCACCTCTTACTAAATCAGTCCAGGTTTAATTGACGTATTTCACTTTCTATTGTCACATGAAAACAATCTCTTGGTTTTGGTTATAATGCTAAGAATCATGGCTATGGATGGAGGATGTGGGGTAAGATTAGTCCAAATTCTTATTTTTCTTCACCATTCTGTCTCCCTTATGAACAAATTGTCATGTCATAGTGAAATAGGGAAATTCTGAGCCACTATATGTGGAACCACAACCACAACCCATTATCAGTAGGTTGCAATTTCCTCTAGATTGCTTTCTCAATCTACTGTATCCAGTTGGAATTTAGGATCATTGTTGATTTTATGGGTAAGAAAACTGGGGAAGTTGGAGTAATATACATATATGTGAGCTTAGAGTGCAACAATGTACAGCGTACACATAGAGTTTTCCTATCACTGTGAAAAGCTCTTAGCACGAACACGGACGTGAAATAGCAAGTGATAAGCCAGACCAATCACATTGCTCAAGAATTTACTCTCAATCCAATCAAATACCCAGAACACACCATAAATATAGCACAGACACGGTCACACCAAGGTCATGGCACTGTCAGACCAATCAATTTGCGCTAAAAAAATCAGCCAATTAAAATCCTAGAAAACATCATGGTCAAGGCACGGCACACTTACAGCACTGAGCTTTTCAAAGTCATGAGAAAATTGCTCTAATAAAATTGAGACAAGCTTACAAATATAATCTCGATCTTTCCATATATTCTGTCCGTTCTAAACTGTGAGGTTCTGTTGATGAAACGTCTATCACTTTGCTGCAAGACAAGATTAAAAACGGCATTAAACATGAGAGAATCATGAATCATTACCATTTGATAATGATAATTTATTATTTATATAGTGCAAAATACATATAATAATGAGTCAATGCTCTTAGCTTACTGCATGCAGACTTGCAAACTATATTGTATTTAAAACTATTTCCTTACTTTGCGGTTTGATGTAATATTCTGCTAAGCATAGATTGTTCATCAGTCTTTGAAAGTGGTGTTGATGCACCATGTACACCATCATCTCTAAAGGAACAATAATATTAATAATGTTAACCTACTACTGCAACTGGGACATGACACAGAGTGCATGTCATGGTGAACTTCTTGATATCTGCTAAGATAAACCTTCAAATTTTATCAAACCCAGAAACAACCTCTGTGCTGATCTAAGTCAGTAATGTAGAAAGGTGAGGAAGAGAGCAGAGAGATCTAACAAACTCAATTCACAAGTAATGCCAAGTTCAGGATTCAAATTCAAGACCCCACAGGTTAAAATTGAGTGCATTATGTATACCTCTACAGCACCCTTGATTTTCATATCATCAGCAGTATACACCCAATTCAAAAAATGTTGTCATCGCCAAAGGTGATAGGCAATAGGAGATAGGTGGAAAGCGATAGGATATAATATATCCTATATAACATATTATGTCATTCCAAGATCCAAGAATAGCTGGAATGACTTGTGTTTCTTCTTCTTCTTCTTGTTAAGAGTATGGACCTTCGTGCTGAGACTGATGCGATGTTCTTTGTATTCAACGATACCATTTCCATGTCAGAATGAACTATCGCCTATCGCCTTTGACAATGACAACGTTTTTTGAATTAGGTGTATACCAAATGAGAAAAGGGATTATTGGGCTAGAATCTTACAACTCCAGTTGCCTTTTATAGTGGTTTACTTACCCTGCTCGTTGACTGTTAGGTATCGGGGCTGTTTGGTCGCCCGCCAAAAGTGGTGATCTTTCATTCGCCTGCCCCTAAACATCACAGTAAACAGTCAGAAAAATGAAAGAGATTTTGAGAATTCATACAAAATGCCATTATTTCTGCCCGGTACAATTTCGCCTCTTTCAGCCCAAAGATAAACAACCACTTTTACTTGACAATAAAGAAAATAAGACTAATATATAGAAAGATTCAGGAAATATCTTTTAGAAATTAGCATAGTTCATCATTGTTGGCAGAAAATAGTTTGTTTTTACAAGAGATAATAGAAAATACTTGAAATTTTTTGCTGTGGTACACAATATATTGCACATCGAGATTCCAAAAAAATATCCTACTTTCTACTTGTACTTGTATTTTCTTTTGATGAAATATCAATAAACTAAACTAAACTTGTGTCAGAAGACCAATTTCACATCAAAATTCTTCACAAGCTCTAGCAAACCTAAAAAAATTACGTGTAGCAAATAATGTCAAATAAATGGATCCAAATAATGTTGAATGTGAAATTACGTTGACACAGATTGATCAAAATTCTTTTTCATCGTTTTGGTTTTCAAAACTGGCACTTTTTGCTTCAATAGTCTAGTAGCTCAGCCAATCAGAGTGCAGGAATCGTGATAGACCATGGCCAGTAGTAGGTTACGTATCAAGAAACTATTACGCAATGTAGTTTCACTGTGCAACAAGTTCGTAACTCAACTACAAACAAAGATATAAATAATTCTTTCAATCGTATAATTATAATAATAATTGAGCTTAACCTTATGGATTTTTTCAGTATCCATATATACTGTAAGGGTAAGTTGCAAAAAAAGCTGCGAAGATGCGACAATGTTTTTCAGGGTTCCAAAAATACTATTGTTTTGTGAGATAGCTAATATAGTAAGCTCAATAATGCAACAACAGAAATTATTGAAAGTGCGGTACAAAAAAAGAAAGAAAGCAATAGAGTGCTCACACTAAATCCGTGAAACAAATACTAATTTTTAGCACTAAACACACTTTTTATTGATAATTAAACAATAGAAAACAAAGGATTCTTTATGAAATAGTACTAATTAGTACTATTTAATGTTCACGGTTTTAGTGCGTGCACTCTACAAAATAAAATTTTATAATTTCAATGTCCACAAATTGATCCATAATCTCTTAACTTTTTCATTCAAGAAAATAAAAACAAACCATTTTCAAACATTTTATGAGCATTCAATGCATAAACGATCAAAACGAATGATGAATTTGAAATTCCGAGAAGAAAATAATGGAATTCTAAGGTGAACTACAGAAAGAAGAATTCTTAGGTTGTTGAATAGACGTGATCGTCACATGACAACTTTCTACTTCTTGGACTGAACTACAAACCTGATTTGCATCATCATCGCTCCCACTAAAACAACAGCCCATTGAACCACTTTACTCTTAGACCCCCTAAATACGATCGGTGGCTTCTTTTTCTTGATTTTTGGTGCTGTTTTGACTAAAATAATCAAAGAGTTGAGCAACTTTTGGCCTCTTGGATTTCTTCACAGGAAACGACACAGGAGTGGTACCAAGTGTCATTAGCATATTACACAGGGATCCCAAGGGTGCTGAAAATATTGTTATAATATAATATGATAGTTTTTTAAAATCACTTTAGGGTTTAATATAACTAAAGTCTAACATCATAAATTGTTATTAAATATTTTAAAATACATAATTCCGAAATTATGCAAACCTTAATCTTTTGCCATCAGGTATAACACAGGAATCCCAAGAGTAGTTTTTTTTTTTTTTACTTTCTAAAGTACTTTATATTTAAAACTTAATCTTAAGAACAACATTAAAATCCACTTTTTTACTATAAAAATCTTTTAAATGTAATGTATTTGCTTTTGTAAGCTTTTCTAAAGTCCAAAACGACAGACTGTGTTTGGGTTGCCTGTGTAGTGGTAACGACTTATCGCAAAGGTTCATGGGTAATTAAAAATAACCGCCAACTTCAAAATAATCTCGGTTTGGATTTCGTTCTTTTTCGAAAAAGGCGCCCAAACACTCGCTCGATTTTCTTTTTCTCTCCATCTAATTTTGCTGGGTGTTCATTGATTTACATTCTTCGTAAATCGGAGAGTTTTTTCTTGGGATTCCACTGGAGAATTTAGAATTTATTTTTCGAATGTAGTCGTTGGACTGTTGATAAGTGCGTCTGTCCTGTGTCGTGTCAGTTGTAAGTTAATTTATTTATACTCGATCGTGTTTACAGTAAAAAAGAATGAATCGAGAAAGAGCTGATGCACTTCTTCAGTGGGTAAGTAGTATTTTTAATATATGTACTCTGCAATTTCAATACCTATTTCAATACGTCTCCTACAAGTAAATAGCCTACTCTTATATCTGTCTGTTATTTTCTGTCTTGATTTTCCTTTATCAGGTCAATTCTGTGTCTGGTACGACAGTAAAATCAATCAAAGACTTTTCGAACCAAGAAAATGCAAAAATTCTTATAGATGTCCTGCACCTAATGTAAGTACCTGTTACTAGTCGAGAGGGGCTTAATTGCATTTATTTTCCATACCCCCGTAGGTCCTCAATGGGGGGGGAGTGTGGATAAAAAATGCAATAGCCCAATGATAAGCAGCGTAACATATTCAAATCTCTATTAAATTAATTTGTATCGTATAAGAATTTATTACTGGACTAAAGGCTTTCCAAGAAAGAAACGATTCTTAGATTTGATGCAATTTTTTATATTTTGGGTGAAATTTCATACCCCCCACTCCCATATTCCATTGGGGGAGGGGGGTTCAATGTTCTGCAAAGTTGCAAGCTGCATGCTGAAATATTGTTTTTCACTTTTGTCAATCAAAAATAATCAGCCGGTACCTTTTTTGTTCTTGACTGATACTTGCAGTAAAAAACCAATTTCACAATGAGCTGTTGAAATGTTAGCCTCCTTCGCAGCCATCCTTAGGGTCGTCACTCAACATTTCCCTCCCCGTTGCATGACAACCCTAATAACGGCTGCGAAGGAGGCTGTTGAAATGTCAGAGTTCACAGAATGTTGAAAACTGCAGTAAGGATCTTAGTACGATAACTGTTATCTTGTCATTACAGTGATAAGGATAATTGGAATGAAGGTACCAAGGCACAAGACAGCACTGTTCAGGAAATGGTGTCCTACATTATAGCTTATCTTGGAGGTAACTTGATACTAGAGTACTTTTTAGGCTTCAATAGCATTAAGTTTGAAATCAAGATCAGTTTTTTGACCTTTTATAGTACACCTACATAATTGAGAACCAAAATTATCAGGTTGAAAAGTTTCCAAGACCAAAGGGAATGCACTTTTCTCAGACATCGTTTCTAGTTACCAAACGAAGCATGTTGTCACTCCTCATGTATGCAAACACTCTCCAACAAATGCCCAGGACATCAAGTGCCCAGAATACTACCCCTCATTCTTAAATAGATGAATGTTTTTTTTCTCCAATTTGATTCCAAGATACCTATAAAATTTAATTATTCATGAAATTTCAGCAAGATTCTGTTGACAAGAATCTACTACTTACGACCACTTTCCTTGTCTTGCAGGAATTTATGATAACTTGGATGGCATTGTTTCTAGCAATCTCATTGTGTCAAGAGGAGATGAGCTGGAAATTGGAAAGGTAATTTTTGGCTAATGTCATTCAAACCAGTTTGTTTGGAAATTAATACAGAACTCGACTTGCATATGCAGTGCAACAATTCATGAACAACTCAATTTTGAAGGAAATACAATTAATGTTAAATCTCATATGTGTAAAATTTTATTATAGTAACATTATTAGCACCAATGAAATAAGACATTTCAAAATATACGAAAATTTTTACAAAATTTTCAAAAAATTCGAAATTTTCTAAAAATGTTATTGTGTTGTCCTCCACATTGAGGACCACTCTACTAAGACTTACTCTTTCCTTCTAGTTTTCACTCCTGCATTGAGTAAAAACTTGAAAATAAAGAATCTTAATTTGACTTTTTTTCCAGCTTATAATTTTGCTGCTGTGTGGAGCAGTCCAGGGTAACAATGTTCCCCATTTCATTGAGAAGATACACAAACTTGACAACAAGGTTCAGTTCCATTTAAAGGTTATAATAGAGAACATCCTACAACAAGTAGAGAGTGGGCAGCTATGTTCAAGGTCGTTAACAGATCTACTTCATGAACAAGGTACGGGACAGTGGGAAGATTTCTAAATGGGTAATGCTTAAAGTGCCTATCACCCTT